CGGCGGAAGTCCAGGTGGCATTAGCGGAATGTTACCAAAGCCGTAAGGATTGTTCATTACCGGCGGTTTTAGAAACTGTGGTGGTGGCGGTGGTGCTTGATTAGGGATGACATGATACTGACCTTGCGTGGTGGGTGTCTGGTTCTGGGAGTTGTTGTAAGAAGGGACAAAATGATTAGTGTCTGAAACCGGAACTGTGTTTTCTGATTTGGATAGACCAGAAGTTTGTGTTGCTTCAGCTGCGAATGAAGATAGAACAGATTGCATGATCATATGTGATGAGGTAGATGCTGTGAGCATCGCAGCAATTGATGCAGGCGTCATTTTTGATGCTTGACCAGCTTTAGCATTGTCGTTTGTCTCTGTTGTCGTGGTGGCAGAGACTGAGCCCGGGGGAACAGTGGTTGGTTTTGATGTGTAATCCTCATCGTTGAGCCGTTTCTGCATGTTTAGAGCTTCCTCTGTTTGTTCTTGTGCTACCTGATAACAAAATGGTTCATGAGCTTATTAGCTCAGGCAGGTCAAAAACGAGGTTAAAGATGCAGTGGGAATTCAAACACATACCTGAATTTGGGCTTTAAGATTCTCCAGTTCGGATTCCTGACACAAGTAAATAAAAGAATGAAAGATTGATTACCAAAATAGCGAACTTGCCAAGTGAGAAAAAGCATTTCATACCTGTTCGCGTAGTGCATCTTTAAGCTGGTTCACAAGGGAAGTTCTACTTTCTTTAACAGATTTAAGTTTCTCAGTACATTGTCTCAAAAGATATTCTTCTTCTTCCAATTCTTTCGCTAATGATTTTCTCTTCAGGTTGTCTTTTGCTGGAGAAACACAAATCGATAACTATGATTTCACTAGATTTCGAGAAAAAAACAGGGAACATGTTGTTAATCGATAATTAGTTAGACAAATGTTTACCAGTAGAGCAGGCTTCTTCAACATCTTTCTCCATTTTCCTGATTCGTTTAACCGCAGACTTACATTTATTCATCTCAGCTTCTTCGTTTGAGTTTTCTGCAACAACCAAATGATATGCTGATGCTATCTTCTCAGCCACACCTCCACTAGATGATAATTTCTGGTTGCAAAAAGCAAAAAAACCAAACAGATAACTCTTAATGAACTTTAGCTGACATCAATAGAGGAGAAAAAGGAAATATTGGTGTTTAGTGTTTTACAGATCTGGACGATTTTGAGTCTCGTTTTCCAGATTTGGATCCGCGTGGTCGCTTTTTGCTGACTTCAAGAGGCAGAGGAACATCTTCTCCAAGCATTACATCTCTAAGACCCTTTGAACGGGATCCAAACACTCTTCGTTCTTCCCATATCTTGACCTACAAATCATGTAAACCGTATATCTCAACTAGCGAATAACTTTCTTATTCTTGTTTCAACTTCACAACATACGCAATGGCTTCTCTCTCTATCGCTTCACACAACTATTCATCCCTAACATCAAACACTACACTATCCCAACACAAAACATGAGATAAAGCACTAGACATTAACCAATGATACTATATTAACCCTTTTTCGCAAAACATGTTCTTTCTCCATTCTCCAAACAATTTAACAGCTTTAAAACACAGTACCAAGTAACAAAGAACAAGAATCAAACACTAACAAAAGCTCCAATG